ATCTATATTGCGAAAGGCACAAGTACATACCATTTTAATCCAAAGAATGCTTTCTCGGAGCATGTGAACTTTCAGTAAAGGAATGGAATTTTAATTTAAAATATATTAAGCAAAAATGTCATTTAATTTCCCATGAAGTTGTACATCTGTCCAGCAGGCCTTTCTTTCAGTATAGACTCAGCACATGTAAATCAATCAAAGCAAAGGGTTTTTGTTTTTGTTTTTATCTCTGACTAGACTATCTGAGAAGTTTCACATTAAATAATATTCAAGTCAGGAGAACCTAATTTTGTCCATACTTGCATTTGATCAATACTTCAAGACCACTGGGGTTAATTATCAGAAACAGTGGGCGTACGCATTGCAGCAGCCGGGACCCTTTCATTTGGAGGATCATGCATAGACTGGAAATTCAGTTCAATAATAATTTCTATGGATCATAGAATACCAGGAATACTCAGATGGACAACAATTAGCCTACTGGTAGTTTTCAGATTATACTATGTGATGATGTGGACTTTTCCTTTTTTCCTTGAGTACATAAATTTTTCCCCACATATACTGTATATCAAGAATGTAAATTTGCAAATGTTGAATCAGATCATTAGTGACTAAACTCAAAACTCTATATATCAACAAGAATCTGCATTTTAACAGTATACCTTTTAGCTGGCTTCTATCTATATAAAGAATGATCAGCCTATAGAATGTGGTTATGTAATCTGAAACTCACCTCTTGGTTTGGTTTATGGTGGAAACTGCAGCACCCAAAGGAAAAAAAAACATCTGAACATGAGATGCACATACACTACACTACTAAAGAATACACTGTTTGTTGATAATAGTGCTATTACCACTTGCTTTAATCTCAGTCTTATTTGATTGGAGTATACACAAAAGCAGTACTTTACCATAATTACTCTCATTATAGCTGTATTGAACGCTAAAGATGTGGACACTTGAACCCTGTATGCAGATAACTCACTGCAGCCTCCACTTTGCATTCAAGACCATGCACTTAGCTGCTCCCGCAACACGGTCTTCATTACGATCTGAGCACTTCATGCGTAATTTGAACAGAGCGCTGTGATTGGTCAGAAAAAGCCCCTTAGCGGAGCATCTTGAGTTTCCTGTTTGTGATGCTGCTGGCTCTTGGTAACCATCTGCCCCCAGTGACATGTTCCACATTGTTGCTATCTCTTTAACAGTATTAACAACCCTGAGATATTTATATAGGCGGTGATTGCATAAGTGAAGATGAATGGAAAAGATTGTAATTTTTCATAGTTCAATGTCAGTGCATCATATAGGTGCATATTATTTATCTGACCACCCAGAACCACACGCTTTGACAAAACTTTACAAAGACGAGAGGATCTAAAACCATATCCAGTCTCCATGATTTCAGACAGCGTGATTGACAGCTGGATTAACCAGCCAGAGAGACAAATGATCAGTTCACGTTTCACAATTATGGCTTTTCACACGTAATAAAGGGAGGAAAAAAGGACTGAGAAACAGCATGGATTTTCTCAGAATCAATCATCAAAGCACCAAACTATTGTTAAAGTAGTTATATATTTTGTTCTGAATGATACAAGAATTTTCAAGAGGAAATGTCGCATGTATTTCTGAGGCACGTGCTACAGATTGGCAGCTGTGGTTGGACTGTCTCAAGTTTGGACGGAGGTTTGTCACACTACGGTCTAGTTCCAGTTCCTTCTGGATTTAAACAGAATGTAGAAGAGACTGGCTTGTCAGGCAAACATATTATGGGATGTTGGTTTATTAATTAGCTCTGCGCATAGTATGGTTGGTATGGAAAACCTGATACGTGCAGCTCCTGAGTAAGTTTGCCCTTCCATTACACGGCTGCTATAAAATGACATGTAGAGGCATAGGTAAAAGTTACACAAAAAAGAAAGAAATGCTAACAGTGTGAGCAGTGAATTTGAGAAGAAATCTCTGATTAAATTGTATCAGTTTTATCTTCACAGGAAACAGAATCGATGGGGAAAGATATTGTCATAATTGTTCACACGCTGTAGATAAGGGAAAAACAGAAAGAAAACTTGATATTGAATTCTTTAAACTCTGATTTCCTCATATTGTTACACAAATATTTGACACTGACACGGTCCCAGAGCACTGCTAAATAATTCAGTTTGTTTTGTCTTGCTGTTAGTATCAAAAATAAAGTGCTATAGACACAAAATCCTTCTTGAAATATAATGTTGAAAGATCCTGCATACAAAAAATTGTTTCACCTTCACTATTGTTACCTTTGCAAATAGTGTTATTTTTGCAGACTGAAAGCAAAATATATATTTACAAAGAGATCAGGAAACAGAAATAACACTCAGAACCGCCAAGGTTCTTTCCAGTAAACATTTAAGCATTTCTGAGAGCAAGGCCTTTAACATGCTGTTGGTTTAATTAAGTAGAAGCACCACTCTTTATTATGCAGCAGCCTTGTCTCGAATGTAAACACAGCAGACCCTCGATGCAATGGTGTAGGAGTATGAGCCTCTCCTTACAATTTAAAGTGCCAGCTATTACGCAGGTATTACGCAATCATTATACAGATTGTCATTGCCATTTGAATACATGGGAAGCTATTACTGTAGTGTCACATAGATATGAGTAAAATGTTGTTTCCTCATAAAAACATACCCAGAGTTGTGTTTTGTTCCATTCACACGTTTAAAACACAAATGCTGCATGTTTAGGCTGAGTTCTTCTTTCAAATGGAAAACACTCTGCTCCACCTTCATGCACCATGATGTTATGTGGTAATACAGGAAGTGCTCCACCGTGTTTTTAAGCTCCATACACCTTCACTAGAATCATTTGGTTCATTTCAGCCCTGGAACTGCCAGTCTCTACTGAACTAAAAGGGTAAAACTACCACTTCATGACATCACACGTTGGAACAAAGCATTTAGAGCTTTGGGGATGCAGACAGCCTAATTACTCAACCAAGTGTAAATGAAACAAAACACAACTCCAGGTATGTTTTTGAGGAGGGAACAACATTCTATCATGGCTATAATCTCACAAGAGTAAATTTTCTGTAATCCAAGACCTTTAAATTAAGTTGAAATATAATAAAGATCCACTCTGTAACGTATCTGATGGGGGGGCTGGCACCTGCTTGTCTCCACAGGGATTGTATTGCTGTCCTGGAATGTTATATATCTATGGAGACAAGCTGTTCACACCACAAGCCCACCATACAGGTCAGAACTGTGGAGAGGTGACTCTGCTCACAGTAAAAAGACATGTTTTCCAAGGTATTTGTGAAAAGCAAAGCTACCTGTGAAATATTACAAGCAAAACGCCTCAATGTGACATACTCTAGCTGCATAGAGGACCTTTAAAGATGAATGGAGTGTGTTGCCTAATAGAACAAGAATTGAAACTTTTAGTAATGGACTATGTTGTTAAGTCAAATATCTATATATACAATAGCAATGTGAAGTCCCTTTTAGTTGTTGACTGACAGTAGAAACTTTTAATTTTTACATTATTTCAGCCTTGTCCTTGAAGCTCTGCATATCTTATTTAATTGAAAAAAAACCATTAAAGACAAAAATTGAAAAAAACTTGAACAAAAAGCACACAGCATTTTAGCTCTATAGCAAAATAAAAAGACAGGCAAAATAAACATGTACTTCATGGAGGAAGTGGCCATGATTTTTTTTTCCAATAAGTAGAAAGATTTATTGATTGACTTAAAGTTCACTGCAGGTCTCATCTTTCTGATTGTACTTGGTCAGTGGAGACATTGAGTAGTTTGGGCAGACACAGAGTTAGAACAATGGAGAGATATATTTTTCTTTTCTACTGACACAAGGTTATACAACAAGCAATATGCCACACATCAATAGACAGCACAGAGCTACTGACCTGTGTTACAAGTTCTAACTTATTGTATACAAAACATAAACAGAAAAAAAAACTGAGACTGAGAGGCTGAGCTGCTTAAAATCCATCACAAAGCACTAACCGTTCTTTTTAAAATTTTGTTACTATAGACCTAGATTTCAGCTTCTTGTATAGACAACATTCAGCAACATTTCACCATACAAAAGAAAGTATGTTTGAAATTGTTAACAGATCAAAATGATCACTTTCAAACTAATGGATTCTCAGTTATAATATACAGTTATAATATAGTCAATCTTTCAATATACTGCCCACTTCTCAACTGAATATAACCACAAGTGATTATCCATGGCTATGAAAATATAAAATATATAAGATAGATATAAAGATTTCAATGTCTTTAACAGAATGGAAAACACCCCGGACAGTCCGTTTTACTGGCTCAGGGAAATAAATGAGAGTTTAGGTACACTTCTCTGTCTATGCAAGTAAACCCATAGGGTACTCTGCATTTGACCCATCCTTCAGTGCCCCCGGGGCAGCCTGTCAGGGACAGACCCCAGAATCTGATAACAAAGTTGCCTTGCATATGTACTGCAGCTGTGACCATTGAGCCACATATTATAGGGCTTGTTGCCTTCTTGTTAGTGTAAATGAATGTAACAGCCAGAAGTCTTGGAGGAAGGGTGTGTAGTTTTCAGCAAACCAAAACCCACTAAATATAGTGTAACTGAAGCAGTGCAACAACTTGTCAGCGCTGTCATGTTGTAGCTGCTGTGTTTATGGTAAAGTTGAGCTCACAGCAGTTATAAGCCACATCCCTTTACTTGGATTCAACACAAAGTAATTTATTGTTATAGCCATTAAAGATGCACTATGTAACTTTTCCAGTGGAGGATCTGTCAGATCATGATGTCTCCATGGTGATCAGGTGATGCCACCATGCCAAATTACACACACCAGAAAAAATACACAGTGCACCATTAGATTCAAACCACGCCTTGACTAATATGTCCATATATTTTCAATGTTACGATAGTAAAAATTCTACAGCAAAGTACCTGGAATAGCCTTAAAGAAAAACAAGATATTACAGAAAAAATTTGCCTTACCGAGGGTGGGGTCGTACTCCCAGATGAAGCGCCTGGTCAGAAATCTCACCACCAGAGCTGCGGAGAACAACAGAGCAAATATGTTCAGGATATGAGGAGGGCAAGGGCAAGAAATGAGCTAAGTCTCCCAATTTCCTGAAGAGATTTAGATAGACAAGCGTTTTATTATGCTGCATATTTGGTCCGCTGTGCTCATTTCCATACAAGGGAAAAGTCAACGGGCTTAATAATAACTGACAACACATCTCCTCTAATGGCTCACAGGAGCAGATGGCATGCTCTTTACACTGTCATCTAAATGCTAATCTCCCTTTAATCATTAGCCACAGTCCAAAAGCAAAGACAGGCCTATAAATATTATAACAAATCATCATTACAATCTGAAACTTTGGAAACTGTTCTGTCTGTACCTGTAAATATATATCTACAGCAAAAGAAAATTGAATTCAGTCAAACGGACAAACTTTTTCCCCACTTTTTTTGCGTTTCGTGAAGTACTGAAGAACTGAACTGTCCATTTGAGAGAATTTAATTTTCTTTGTCAATGAACCCTACCTGGATGACTGAAGGATCACAGACAATAGATTTTAGAGTTTTTGAGTATAAATTGGCAACTCATTTTTAAACAATAGTAGCAGTTGAGAATTGCTGTGAGACAGTGTAGTAAGAAAAAGTGTAATGCCTGTTTAATGATGATGAGTTACGAGTTACGTTAAATAAAGTTTGCTAATTCTCTGCTGCATCACCCATTCACACATCCACATCCGAGTATATGGAAACAGAAGACAAGCAGGGTAAAGTGTCTTGCCCAAGGACACAGCATAAGTGAAGATGAGTGAACAATTTCCTTAATTTTAATGAGTTTGTTCATTTTAAATATGGATGTTTTATATATAAAGTTTTGTATAGACTTGCCCCCGCTCTGTTACAGGATTTTATTAAAACAAAGACGGTCAGTGGGATGGGAACTAGGGCCACAGCCCGGAGGAACTGTGAGCTCCCACACAGACACACTACATTTGAACAAAGTGTGCTCTCAGTCAGAGGCACTACGTTCTGGAACAGTCTCCCATTATCAATAAGAGAGACTCCAACACTGGCCATTTTCAAATTATGCTTGAAACAGTGGCTAAAGGAAAACCAGACCTGTGGACACTAACTGTTGTATAACTATTGCTTGTCACTTGTTATTGCTTTTTTCTGTTAAATTTGTGTTGTCACCTGCGTAGGGAGTACAGATGGAAATGAGCTTTTTTTGCTATAATCTGGCGTATCTACACTGCAATGTGGTAGATGTTCATTAATATGAACTGTCCTTATTAAATAAATAAATAAATAAAGATGGGCGAGTGTTTGTCCACTGATGCTCTCGACACAAAAAAACATCATTGGTTGAGTGGTCCGATCCACAGGTTGTCGGTATGATTCCAACTCCCACATATGTATGCTGTTTTTGGGTCCATGTGCAAAACATTTAACCCTCCTCACCCCCAGTATTTGCACACACTGGTGTATGAATGTATGTGTGAATGGGTGACTGGTTCCTTGATGTAAAGAGCTTTGAGTGCCTTCAAAGTGGAAAAGTCTAGGTGTGCAGCTTAAAAAGGCAGTATAGTGTGAACTGGAGGTAAAGAATGTGGGAGACATTCAGTAAAGATCAAAGTCAGGAATCACTGGTACAAAGCTCAACATTTGTTTTGTGCCACTGTGCAAAACAAGTCAAGGGTGAAAAAGATTTTAAAAATACATGTAAATGCAGAACAGTGACTGGGGGATGTGAAGTGAATCTCATAAATCTCATAAACAGGAGTGCAGGAACAGCAGTGATCTGCAGTAGTTCAATTGTACTGTGAGAACTATTGTGTACTAGTATACTGCGCACTCCCATCATGCAAGGAACAGCTAAATTACTAGACACCTTTGAATGTCTCACAGCCACCATGCACAAATATTTGATTGGGACAAGAGTGGTTACACTGGTTCTCAAGAGAAGCAGGACAAATCCTGCTCAAGAGTGTGCTAAAGATTTACCAGAGATCATTTGTTTTTAATAAAGCTCTAATCGCTTGTTTTGAAATACTTGTTGAAACACTTTCCTGTTCTTCAGCCTGTTCTCCAGTGGGACTAGCAAGACTCTTCTTTAGCAGCAGCAGCTTTAATAAGGACCAAAACATACTGCCCAGGAGGCCGCTGACTCACTCGGCTAATGGTTTACCACCAACAACTAATCTTCTACGCACTAATTCTGATACCCTGTTTCCAGACTGACATTACCTGCTCCGTGTGCCTCAGTCTACAAATTATACTTGTACTCGACCACCAGCATGTTGTGATTTAAATGCAATTATTAGTACAAAAAACATCGTTGAACTATGGCAGGGTATTTAAGGACTCCTTTGGCCAAAATCTATCAACAGAACTCAATTGCACTCATGTACGACACTAGTCAGAGTCAATTCATACAGATCAAAGTTGGTTTCAAATACGACACAACCGGCCCTTCGTCTACTTTAATGAGAAATTCAAATGACGTCAGCAATAAATTGACTGTGATTGTCTTTGTCTATTCAGTTTGTGTACAGCACTTTGGCCATCTGTAAAGTTTTTATATGCCCTATAAATAAAGTTGGTATGGTATGATATGCTGTGTAATTTTATAACTCGGTTGGACAGTTGTAACTCAAACACAAGAGAGGAACAGTTGTGAAATGTGCTTGATTATGTTTGGAAAATGGCCTCCAAGTGTTTTTTTTTTTCTTTTTCTTTTTTTATGAAAGGCCAACTGTATTATAGACTATAAAATGTCTTCATGACTCATTGCTTTTTTGGATAAAGGCAGGCAATGTGCTTTTCCAAAAATACATCATTTAGCCTACTTCATTTTTGGCGCGAAATATTTTTCTCAGAAGTCATTGTACTTTATGGGAAAAATAGATACATCCACTCTGGCCTCAGATTTTGATGAATAAGTTTTATAGCCTTACCACTCAGTATTCGTTCCTGTCTTTGTTCCCTGTGGGCATGAACCTGAAAGGATAAGATTCTTCTCCTCCATATCAATAGGACTCAACTGGTTGGGCATGTTTTTTTTTTTTACTTGGGGCTCTGCAATTACTCAAATTTCAATCAACATAGAAATTCAGTCATTCGTAATCATCATTTATGCGCTTTTTAATCAGGGCAAGCCAATTGAATAAAAGCATGTGGTTTGGAGGAAGAAACTTAACTATATTTAAATGGCACTGATTATAAGTCTGCACTTTTTCTGTTCAGGGAATTAATATTGAATACCATTAAAGGTACACTATGTAACTTCTTGGTTTGGGTTCCGTCACCTGCTTGTTTCTATGGATATGTCATTGCTCTGACTGGAATGTTCCACAGTATGACATTAAACACCTCTACCTCACATTTATTTAATTACAGGTGGTTTTATAGCTCAAAAATACATAGAAAAACAGGCATTCTAACTGTGAGAGGGGTTGTCTCTCCACAAACATTCTAGATAAAGCAATAACATCTTCATGGATAAAGCATTTGACAAGACCTCCACCAGAAAAGTTACACAATACACCTTTAATATTCATTTTAAATAACCAAAAATCAAATCCAACTAAAAATCAAGATCAATCAATATGATGAAAAAAATTTGATACATGTTTTGCCATATCACCCAGTTGTAGTTACACTTACTCAAAGCATTCATGGGTTTCAAAACATTGAATTTCTATGGCAACCGTGCAAATATTTCCTCAGTCTGACTAAGGAAGGCAATGATTACTGTCTCCATTCTCACTCCTTACAAGCGCACAATCAGTAACATAATCACATGCAACATACAAGTCTGTAATTTTTACAATTTCTCTTGCAGATAGAATAAATGGTTTCCTGTGCACATTTCTTAGTACATTTCCAAGTCTACAAACTCAAAGTGACATCCACAACTCTCCAAGGATGCCCTCCCGAGACAGTTACATAACAGCCAATTAGCCCACACCAATTGCTGTCATTCAGTCTATTTCCAGGGTAAAGCTAAAAATAATCTTCCTTAGGGAATAACTGTCTGTTTCATTAATAACTAACCTAATGACTATAACCACACTTCCACCTTCTCTGCCTCTTATTATAACACGTCTCTTTCTGTGTAGTTTTAAATCAGAACAGCCTCTGGCCTAATCTAATTACCAGCTCCGCATCACTCTCTCTTTACACCAAGGAAGTCTCGGTGGGAGGGAGAGTGTTCAATCCATTTATCTCAACACTCCAGCAGCAGCAGTGGGCTTCAGTACGTCAAGGGCCCACTCATTTAAGACCAATGAGGAGGAAGCCGGCAGCACACGGCCAAATATAGAACCGGCTTTGTACCAGGCAAACATCCAAGCTGCGATCCCCTCTGCAGACAGAAAGTCAAACACAAATATTTTAAATGTCAACACAGTGCCAGCCTACAAATCTATGACTATTTGCTTTCAGAGGCAGGAAAACATGCTAAATAACGAAAAAGAAGAGTGTAGGGCAGTGTTCGGCTAAAGGACATTTTTATTAGTTGACGATTAAGTATGTATATGCTCTGACAGTATGACCCAAACTGCCCTCATAAGACCACACGCTACAGGAGTAAGTTCCAGTCACAACTGTGCAGTAACAACTATGCTGAAATTGACAAAAAAACACTGAAGAATAGCAGAATAAATGGACCTGTCACTTCCAAAACTGCAGCTATTGTGTCAGGTGCCTTCCCCTTTCCACTATTGTCCAGGGAATTCCTTATAATTCAAAATAAATAATGAGTTGGCAAATATATAACACTTAGTCCCACAGCTCTATATAGCAATTTTGATAAATTTGCCTTAGCACCAGCATCTTCTTGACCACCACAAATAACACACTTACCACATTTGGAGTAAGTGTGAAGTGTCTTGCTGAAGGACACAAAAATATGCACAGATTACACGATGACAACTCTACCATGAGATCTTCCAAGCCCAAATACACACCCCTTCCTGTATCCATAATTTTTTATTTTTTTTTGTAAATTAATCTGTAATCTATCAATC